CTCCTTATGCACAATCATAAAACCTGAATATATATCATTTGGCATCAATTTACATGGATTTATTTTTCATTATTTATTAATGGAGCATGACTACGGAATACATGTATTTCCATAAATCTCGAAAACAGCATTAAAATACTAAAATTTTTAATTAATGTAGTAAATCTAGCACGATATTTAAGGTACAAAAAAACTGCTATAATTTTATATAAACATCTTATGTTAAAGTTTTTTCTAAAATAAAACTTTGCCTATAACATCAACCTGAAGTAGTAAAATTGAAGGATAAATTTTATTTATATCTAAGGTGCCTGGGAATAAAGAAAATGATACTGAAATCATAACATTACTGAGGAATGCATATCTTTATATAAAACATACAAATAGCTTTTCAGTATTAGGTTAGCATCACTTTATTCAAAATAATATGTAATCCCTCGTTTAACTATATGCTCTCTCATTCATTAGTTGAAGGAAAAAGAGTAAATAATTTTAGAAAGATGAACATAATTTTTAATGGCAACCATATGCAAAAGCTGTTTCCGAGAATTTTAACTAATGTACGGTAGTCAGAATCACAGAGCCTTAAAGGTTGAGAAGAATCAAAATGTATGCTCTCAAAGAAGGCTGCAGAGTTATCTCCTTTACTTGGAAAATACAGAAAGTATTAAAATCAACTTTCTCCATAATTATCCCAGCAAAAAACTGACTACACTCAGAGTTTTTTCTACATATGAATAGGTGCAAAATATTCATAAAGTTCATTATAAAAGGCAGGTAAATATTATTACATGCATTAATAGTTACAATGTCATTAAGTATGCACTAATTTAAGTAGTCTAGGTATCTGGACTCCTGATCAAAACAAAACAAACAAACAAACAATTCAGTTCTTTAAGTAGAGTAAGAATGTGCTCCTGATAATAGAGCCTAATATAACAGGACCAGGAAAGTATGTGATTCTTCCGTTCTCTAGTTTATGTATCATCACTATTATGCAATAGCAACAAAGGGAACATAGTAGGTGAGAACTTAGTGCAGCTCCACTAGGGTTCAGACATCTCCACAGGAAAACAGCGGAATGTCTATGCAATATTAACGAGCAGCTGCAATGTGTATCTAGTATTGTACTAGGCATTCTGTAACAAACCTCAAAGTAGAAAGTTAAGAGTCCATTAATAATTTGTGGTTAATATCATTTTTATCGTTACAAAATTAAGAAACCATTGTGGTTAGGGGCCCCTAAGGTCCCATTTTGCCATGGTGGGTTTGCATTGAGACCTTTGCCTCTGGGGAACCGGGTGTACTAAGTGTGGAGTTCATCCTTGCCTAAAAAAAAAAAAAAGTTTCAGAGATGAGGGGTTCGGTGGGGGGAGCTTGGTGGGGCACTTGCCCCTAAGCCAATGACACAAGAACTTTTCAGTCTCCTCTAAAAGGCGAACTTTCTTCCCTTAGGCTTTCACTCATTGATACACAGATAAGATTGATGGATTGCTGTCCTGATAGTAATAATATTGGGGGGAGTGGGTGTAGGCAAGGGTGTCATTTAGCAATACACAATGATAATTCAAAACACTCTGCAAGGTTTAAAAGCAGAATCACACTTCAAATTTTCACTCATCAACTCTGTCTGTGGGCAGTTACTGAGTATAGAATGACAGCGACTGTGCGGGAGGAGAGACGGATATATAGAATCAAGGCCGAGGATAGGTGAAGAAACGGGAGATAAATTGTCCAAGCTCATTTAAACCCAGAAGAATGGAAACTTGTGAGACTGTGAAATTCACGTATCGGTAAGTACTCCAAAAAGCAATCCGGCAAATTAAAGTCACCAAGTCATACTTATTATGCCATGTGGCACCTTGCTGTCATGGTCTCTGGTTTCTTGCAGCCCACAATCTACCGCTTTCTTAAGCATAAGGCACTTCAGTGTCAGCTGTCCTCTGCGCCCCCGCATGGCTCCACTCCCTGCAGCCCGTCGCAGGTCGACTTAGTCGCCATGCAAAGCCTGTTTCCACAGATGCCAAGATGATGTCAATTCTCAGCCCACCAAGTCCATATTTATAATTTATCAAACTATTTCAGTAACTACTTACAAGCGCACTGAGTTTAATTTCAATGGCATAATCAGTGATACACATTTCACCTAAAGTCTTTCAAATGCAGGCAGTTTCCAGTGTTAGTTGCAGTAAATCTCTGGTAACAGGTCAAAACGAGGTGGTAGGGCACTTCTTACTCAAGAGATGGATGGCACTTACCTTACCTTAGATCCTTATGGTCTTTATCTCATCTAGAGGCTCGTGAATTTGATACACATACCGATAAAAACAGTGTCAGTGAATCTTCTGTTAGTTAAACTGGTGTGAGTGAATTGTATGATCAACCCAGCATTCCGGCATTTATTCAGAACCTATACTTTACCTAAAACTAACCTAGGCAATATGAAATGATTCTCTTTATTTTTACTTATTGTATTTAATCCTCACAACTTCTTGGGTTTCATACCAAATAATCCACACGGTCATAAAATCAGAAAAGAACAACCCTTGGTGTCAGCATATTTAAATTTTAGTTTTCATGTCTTATTCTATAACATGATAATAGGTTGTTACACATATTTATATTAATATAATAGATGGTTCGATTCCCCATGTATAGCACATGCCTGAGTTTCAGGCCAGGTCCCCAGAAGGGGGCATGAGAGATGCAACCACACATTGATGTTTCTCTCTGTCATTCTCCTTCCCTTCCCCTCTCTAAAAATAAATTAATTAATTAATATAATAGGAAGAGAGTAGTTCATTTAAAATATAAAAATCTCAGTTTCAAGTTTATTTTGCCACAGGTTTGGGATAAATAAAACCTTTTCTGTGACACAAGGCCTACCATTATGTTTTAGGGTAAAATGTAATTGTTTTGTATTTAAGTATTTAAGGACATTGGATGTGCTAAAACCCACACTGAAAATACAGACTCTACAATGACAGCGATGGCTCCCAAGGCCATCTTAGACTTTAAAAAACAAACAAACAACAACAATAAAACATAAATTCTGTGAAGCATGATACTCTGGAAATGTTTTAAGTAGATTTGCAATGGCTTTATTCAAACAAATAATCATTATCAAAGAATCACGTAGAGATTGTATATTTTAAAAATCCTTGTCTACTAATACCACTTTTTTAATTGAAATATTAGATTTTATTACATTTAGATTAAAATATTAAGAAAAGTTGTGGAAATTAACAAAGAAAATGGTAGAAAATCTATATATACTGGCAAAAGTATTTCACAATGGAATAGAAATCTATTTAAAATAACCTATATAAGGATATTGATCAAGATTCACAATATACTTTATAGCACACATTTTAGAGATCTCTCCCTTACCTTCGATTGTGCACAATAAACAGTTATACTGTTAGCAAATTAATAAATTATCATTTTCAAACTTCAGTTTGCATTTTATTATTGCCTTTTGGCTGCATCTTAAACAATAATTACATTTATCGATCAGTTACTTAAAAAAATATTCCATAGACCCAAGTTTGGGCAATCAAAATGGAAATTTCCATTAACATTACAATATGAATGTGATAAAGAAAGTTAAGCACTGATTTCATATTTTCTGATTTGAATCATGAATTTTCATGAATTACTAGCAGGCTGCATGCAAATGTTTTATATCCAAAAGTCTACATGTTAATGCATGCAACCCACACCATGTCATGTTCCCAATATACCTACTGATTTCTAAAATCATTAAAGATATCAATTTTCATATTATTTTAAATGGTGATATAATTGATTTTATTTAAAATTATATTAGATGACAGCATCATAATTGTATAAGTACTTCTGAATTACTATTATAAGCAGAATGGGATAAAAATACAAAAGGGCTTTCAATTTCTCTTGGTGCAGCAAAGAGATACAAATATTTGAAATAATACATAAAAGGTACAGCAATCATGATACAACTAAAAATATAACTGTTATAATCAGAAAAAATAGATTTCTTAAATCCCAGTGAGAAATTCCAAACTTCTTCTTTTTGTGTGAGAGGCACAAAAAGCCATAAATATTCCTCAATCAGAATAAATAGTAAGATAAATAGGAAGATCAAGCTATCTACTTTTTAAAATGTATTTATACTGAAACATTGATTTGAAAAGAATTCATACTTAATAAGTCTACCTTTCTCCAGAAAAAGATAAAAAGAAGCATGCTCTGTACATATTTGTAAACAACACAACTAAAAACTAAATTTTGGTGGATGCAGAGAAGTATGATGCTACCTTACCGATGGGGAGTAAAACATGTAATAGCATGGACTTTTAGGCAATACAGACATGAATTTTATTAAAATGGAATTAATACCAAATAGTGCTGGCTTTCTAGCTTTGCAATATATTCATTACAAATATATATATAAATTTAAAAAGAAGAATCATCAGAGTTCTGTGTAAGCTTGAAATTTTCCATTTTTAAAGTAAGAGTAACATTTACCAAAATGAAGAAAACTATCATATAAGACAGGGTCACAAAAAAATGCTAGAAAACAAATCATATATTTTTATTTAATATGACCATACTTAAAGTTAATTCAGGAAGACTTTCTGTATTCCAAAATTAGATGGTGATCCCAGTGATAAGTGTAATAAATACACTGATTTTCTTCATTTGTTCCAAAGAAAATTCTACCTACCCTGGGTAATTTACCATCAACATTGAAATATCAGACAGTGAGTTGGGTGATGACAAATTTGTTATAATCTTCTAAATGTTCAAAAGATATTTTATTTATTGACAACGTATTTAACATGACTAATGATCTACAGTGATGAAATTCAACCTGTGATAACTAGAGTGACAATTATTTTTAAAAAATCAAGCTAGAGAAAGTTTTTGTTTTGCTTGATTCTCCTGTTTAAAAGAGAAAAAAAAAGTAAACAAATGACTGACCTAATTAAATAAGCAGATCACTGAGTGGTACTTACTGGTATGACAATGTTGTAGTGGATGCAGAATCCTGGTTCAGAAGGAAAATATTCATCAGATACAAATCTTATCCTGATTTGATTTCCTTTAGAAATCTGTTTTCCTGGCACAGTCCCAGAACCACACCAGCGCCCTAATACTGTTCCATCACTGGGATCCTCAACTTCTACAAAATCATACCTGCAAAGAGAAAAAGAGAAGAGAGACATAAGGTCATAATTTGTCCATTTCACAATTCAAATTCCATGTCTGAGGTGTAGTAAGTCTATGGACCATAGCTATGAGTTGTCTCACATTTAACTGGGTAGATGTAATCAAATGCCACCAAAAAGGAGACACACTAAAAATGCATCCCGATTAAAGAAATACGAATATTTTCTTCTAAGCCCTCTCATTTTACTATTAATGAACTTCAAATTCACTGAATAGCCATCTGCAAACTTAAATATTTTGTATGGAGCAACCATCTCTGATATTCAATTCATGAGTTATTCAATTTCATTTCCCTTTGGACATGGCAGCCTTACTCCAATCTTAATTCCTATTATTACCACCCACTACTTTCTGACAGTAGCTCTTTCATCCCAGTCAGGCTCCTTGGCTCCCTCTACCCCTCTGTGGCGCAGTGCGATTCAAGCCTCTTCAGAGCCACCTTGTTACAGACGCATCTTTCAAATCTCAGCTGGTACTGAGCTGCCTCTGTGGGACCTTTCTGGGTGTTCTCGGCTCACCCATCCTCTTTCTATTTTTGATAGAAACATTTTTAATATTAAATGTTGATCCATTTTCTTACTTAGGCTGTCAAATCCTTGAAGAAAGAGATCAGTCCTTACATACTTTTATGTTACACTGTACCACACGCAGAACCTTAAAAGTAAGAAATAGCGATCTATTTTTTTTAAGCAAATGCTAACTTCGGTTTGGAAGGTTTAGAGCAGTGGTAATCATCAAGAGCAGTACTCCCTTTAGAGAATGTTTAAGAAGTTTGCCCAGGCATTTTGGGTCATCTCAATGACTGGGGTGAAGAGGGCATTTGAAACGTAGTGGGCAAGGTCCATGGATGTTCAACAATGGAAAGTCCCCAAAAGGAGTGTTTGCCCCACATCTTCCATGCTTTTCAAGGACTTCATATTTCTGTTATTGTTCATCTGAGTCTGGAACCTAATACTGCTTTACATATAAACACAAATATGTATTGCAGTTTTAGTTGAAGCCAACTTTCCAGAGATTCAAATAAGCAGAAGAAAGTTTCAATACTTTGGAACTTTACCAAGAGTTACTCACTATTTTGGAAAAAAACATATCAGTAACAGGTACTCTCCTTATACTACTTGCATCATAGTTAACACAATTACATACACCCATATTAGTCTATATTAATTGCTGCCTTTATAACAATGAATCTACATAAAAGATACAAATATATGTCTACTTCCTTTTATTTTTCTAATGTAATTATGCATCTATATTTAAATATATGATTTTAACATAGGTTATTTTGTTATTATATCAGTTTATATAGCATATAAGCTATTATATTTATTTTTAAAAATGACTGCACACATAAATAGATTATTACTTGTATTAATTATACTTCAGAATACTAAATAGAACAGGGCAAAACTTTTGTTAAAAAGCAAGTCTGACCACGGTTGAAAACCATTGGTAGGTTCTTTTAAAAGACTAAATTCAGTAGCTACCATACAACTAAAAACTATATTTTGTGCATTACTGAATTTAACAGAAGGAAAATTGTTGAAAAAGGACAACGTATATAATGAACCAATTATATTTCTCACTCATTGTCCTAAAGAAATATCCATATTTCTCTTATAGCACATAAGTTCACCTGTCTCTGCCTCATTTTCCTCATCCTTACGTTGAGGATAACTCACAGAGACACCTTAAAAAAGGAAAAATGGGACAGTACATGTGCAGCACAGGAAGCATTGCTGGCACTCGGCTGCTACTCAGTAAAGTTTGCTTCTCCTCTCTATACCGCACCGCTACCCCTACCCCACACCTCTCTTTTAATATAACCTTGGGAGTTTGCAAGCAAATAAATTAGAAAACTTGAGTACAAAGGGGAGAAGTTATTTCTGCTACACCATGCGACAAGGCTGGCATTATAGGCGACAGACGCATCAGCTAGCCAATATAACCATTTCAGATATTTTGGTGTATGTGAGTGGTGGGGCCAGAGGGGAATGAGGTCAGGGGTAAGGAGAGCTGGACGGAACAGACGTAACTAGTTACTTCAGATATACCTGGCACAGAGGTTGATAACTACCATTTTGAACCAAAGGGTAATTTTTATGTCAAGATTGTTTACTTGTGAAATAAGGCTTCTGTTCACAGAATTCTCTGTTTGTTCTGTGCCCACCTGATGTAGGTTGCCACCACTGCTGAGTTTGCAGAGAGCCAAATTTCAGGCCTGGTCAGTCATTCTACATTTAAGAAGCCCTGACTTGGTATACAGGGCTTGTGCTCGATTCTCAGGCTATAGAGATGAAATTATAGCTTCTGTGGGCTCATGGTGCATAGAACACTTCGGTGAGTGCTCTAATAAGCGAATGTAGGGAACCTGTGGACTACTGGCAGAGTAAGGGTAATTCTATACACCAAGATTAGGGTCAGTTTACAAGGAGACATTTGGGCTGTCAATGAGTACTGACTGACCAGAGGTGAAAAGCGGGGAAATGGAAATGCATTCTAGCGAAAGGTACGATACCTAAGATGTAACAGAAGAAAGAAGGGGCCAGGCCTGGTCAATTGTGAATAGAGGATAGGAAACAAAGAGGTAGATGGAGATCAAGCTGGAAAAATAGGTGTAGGTGAGAAGGTATTTTAGAGTCAGAAGTTTGAATATTATTTTGTAGGTCAATATTGCAAACAGGTAAGCACAGTTTTAATAGGGAGTATGTTTTAAAAAAATTAAGTCAACTTTTAAAAATGTAAACTTTCACTGAAAAATCTGGCTTTTTTTAAATTTTAAAAATATAGAAATAGTGAATATCATTAGATCTACTGTGACCAGGAGGGATCAGATTTCCAGAAATGGTGTCATCTCCAGGAGAAGAGGTATATTGTTTAATTTACGGTATTATCCTGAGCATTGATGTGCCGGGCTCATAGTAAACACTGAATAAGTGTTTAGTTAATGAAGGAATGAACACTGAGCTTTCCTTTCTTCATACCAACTGAGGCTGAAACCAAGGAGAAATAACTTTTGATGGGACATACCCTTTCTAGTTTTTAAAGACCCCCATATACTTTCTATCCTGTTTTAAAAAAAACACCCAGGTCTTCCTTTATTTACCTTAATTGCTCACGCAGACATCTATCTAAGTTCATCACCCTGGCAGCACATGAGACATAGTAATGAAGTTTCAACAAGGGAGGAACATAGAATCATCACATGCTTGAGAAATGCCAGGGACCAATATTTCAAGTGTGGGTAGAAAGGGAAGATCCTTTACAAAAACATCCTGAAGAGGAGAACAGGGCAATAGGAAGAAAGCCACCGTGAGTGGTGGCACAGGGCGAAGGGTGGCTGCCTGCCGTGAGCAGAGCTGGGCAATGAAGAGAGACCAAAGATCTGGCCACTACGAAGTCATGTGTAATAAACTGCTTGAGCAAGACACACAGAGCCAATATTTTTCTTCACACCATTTTCAAAATAACTACTATAATCCTTCTAATAGAGGCTTTTTTAAAAGAAAAGTGTACCATATGGAACAACCCAAAAACTAACAATTCCCAAAACTATTTATTTTACTATTGTAAATTAAAAAGGATTTTTTGACAATATATGGAAATATCTGGGTTATAAATGTTAAGAGTTCATTAAGAAACAAATAAGTCTTACAGTTAGTCTTATCTAACTTATATCCTGATATAAAAACCACTGTCCTGCAAATCAGAGGTGAGGGACAGGTAGAGTGTTATTTTTTCAGGGAGTTTCCTACTAAATTTAATGCTGTTTAAAAAAAAACCCACTAATCTTTATAACAATTTCTGGATTTGCAGGTAGACAGCTGGCAATTAATTCTACATGCTCCTACAAGTCTGGCACATACATTTATCAGAGTGCTTTAAAAACTAGTTTTTCATTCCATGAAGGTTAAATGAAATGAACCTCTAAAAAAAGTACTGCATTCTTTGCTTATAAAACAGTAGAACTTAACATATACTACTAATTGTTTTATAGTAAATTAGGCATTTAAAAATTTTTTTCAGAAGTGGTATCATGTAACAATCATCCAATTATTCTATCATTAATTTTTATGATCACACCCAATACCTGTTTAGATGTCTATGGAATTGAAAATTATTAATCATATCATTATTTACTAAGCTTATGTTTTCCCTCTTAATCTGAATAGTAAATCTTCTTGCCAAAGAACATAGTTACAAAAAATAGCATTTTTTTAATTTAGATTTTATTCAAGATCACATAAAATGGTCCACATGAAGATCTACCAAAAAGTATTTGCAGGCCTAATTTTTGCTATTGAGCCTTCAAAATACAAAAGAACAAAAGAAAAACCATTGACACTTGATATTGTATTTCATTCTAACTTGTCTGAGAATATACTGTGGTTAGAAAAAGACTAATGAATTAAATCCAGTCACCATCCTTAACAATTTGAATTTTTTCTTTTTTTCTGATAGAATGCCATTTGCAGAATGTGGGATTCAATACAGAAGCTGGTTGGCTGACATACTATAACATAGTCCAAATCATCAAGGGGAAAATGGAGAGAAACCAATGACAGAAGATTATTCTATAGGCCTTTGCCAAATGAAAGGGAGGTGATAAAACCATTTGACACAGAAAAGTGAAATCACAAAACATAATCATCCTTAAATACAGAAATCTCTGCATTCCCAGATGACTGACTGTTCTGGAGACATGGTAATCTTAAAATACACTCTTAGGTATTAATTTCCAACATGCACAATTGCTCACATCAGTATTTAAAGGATTTACTAAACTTATTTTATGAGCCAATCAAACATCACTTTCTCACGGCAACATGATACACAGCACACAGTGCTAAGTGGTTTATAATGATCACTCCCTTTCTCTAACATACCCCTGGGGACCCAGGAGGATTTATGTTCTTTTATGTTTAACAAACAAGTCTGGTATTGTAGACAAAATTTTCATTCTCATG